CCACTTCTTGCCTTCCCACCTCTTTCTTGTGTTTCTCGTCCTTTGCTTCAGGTCTTCCTCAATCTGTCCCTTCATGCTTGGTGCATCTGAGTGTCAGGAGGCCTGAGCACAAACATCTTTCAGTTCCTGGTATTGAAAGCAGACCTTCCTGACTTTGAGTTGATCCTGAAGGGCTGCATTGATTCCCCCAGGGCCTGCTCAGAAGCCAGACACTCAGTGGGACCCAGAGGACACCACAAATACCTTCCAGGGCGCCCAGAAGGCAGAATTTTCCTTTTGAAAGTTCTGGAGGGTTTCGATGTTTAGGGAATTTCAAAAACTAATCTGTTTTAACAAATGGTAGTGTATTTAAAAATAATCCCTCCGTCTGTTTTAGTCATTTAGAGGTAGCCTTTACAACTGCTCCCTGCACTTTTGGGGGATGCATGTGAAATTATTTGGGAATTGAGAGAATTAAAATGATTAAAATACTTCAAGATACTAGCTGTTCTTCAATGTGCTGTCTACCGACAGACGTTTGGGGGAACGAGTGTGCGTTGGTGCCTGTATTCTTGGATAAAATTTTCAGTCTTTCTACAAATCTTGGGACCACAACTGTTGAAATTTGGACGAAACAGACTCCTGTGCTAATTAATAACTTATATTTATTTGTTTAGCATGTTTGGGGCCATAAGTCACTTCCAATATATTACCTCATAGATTCCTCACATTAATCTGCCAGGGACATTTATTTTATTTCTAATCTAGACAAAAGAAAGCCAAGGCTCAGAGATGTTTAGTGACCCGCTAAAGAACACACAGTAAAGAAGGAGCTGCATTAGGGGCTGGAACCTGAAGCCAAATCCTGTGTTCTTCTGCACTGTGAGGCTCCTTCTCCAAGAGCCTGTGACTCTTTCGGGGTCTCGATGTGTCAGAGGAAGAGTGCAGGCCTAGGATCAGACAAGCTTGAATTAAGATGCTGGCCTCGGTTGAAACACTTCACCGCTGCCTTCTTCATGGATAAAATAGGTGTGATTAATTCTGTCTCCCATGGGCTCACGCAGTCACGATATAAGGTTTGTAAAGTGCCCTGCACACTGTGGGAACTCAAGGAACCCGAGCTCCCCCATGTCCCATGCCAAGTGAAGGCAGCTCCGGGCAAAAGCAGATCCTGAGTGTTTCACCTGCCCTGGGGGCCAGGTTGAAAAAGGAAGAGGGGAGCCATATTGCAAGCCTGAATTCTGTGGCGCTGACCCCTTGGCCAGTTTTAAGAGAAGGCAGAGGAGGTCATGTCCCCTGTGCTATGATTCCCAGGACCCAGAAGAAATTTCCATTGCTTTCCTTTGACATTGCCCCAATTCTGCATTCCTCTGAGTGAACTCCAGGCCTCAGAAACTGGCCTCAAGCTAAATTTTCCTGTCTCCTTTCCCACATGAGCCCTACAGTCAAGGCTTAGCAGCTCTGCCACCATTCCTAGAAAATGCTGTGCTTTCCTCTAGATCTTTCCAGGCTCTTCTGTGGTCAGCATGTCCTGTTTTCCACCTGGAAAATCACTCCACCCTTCAGGGCTCAGCAGAATGGGGCCTCTGAGCCCTTCTCCAGCTCTAAAACAGAAAGCATCTCATGGCGGTGAAGAGACTTCTACTTAGCAATTTTTAGGAATTCCGACTTGTTTTCCATGCTTGTTAATTTTTCTGACACATCTGATTCCATTTCTACTGTGACTCGGTGCTTGGTTGGGTATGTGATTTATGCTCTTAGTAGCTCTTAGTACGGCCTTAACACTTAGCTCAGCTCCTGGTTCAAAGAGGGCACCTGAGACCATGCTGAGTCCATTAAACCAGCAGTGGTGGAGAGCAGGGAATGCTGGTTTGGGCCCAGAGCACTGATTTTTCCTGTTTTCATAGACCTCCCAGTGGGAGCCCTCACCCCATTGCTTCCCTTAATCAAAACTGGCCTAGCTATTCACAGGCTTTGATGCTTCCATATATATTCTGGAATAAGTTTATGGATTTTTAAAAATATTCCTGACGGGAATTGGATTGTAGTTTCATGTAATTTTTCAAATCATTTCAGAAAAATATCTATGTTTTTAGGATGTTAGTTCTTATATCCATGGATCAGTTTAACCCCATAACCAGGAACATAGTATTTTTGTCTCCTTACGTCTTCTCATAGAGTTTTGAACTTTTCTCCATAAAAGTTTTGCGAAGTTATTTTGAGGCGAGACCCTACGTAAATGGTTTCGTGTTTTCTATTTTACTTTCCAGTTGGTAAATACGAGTGTAGCGGAAAAAGTTGGTTCCACATTTGGCGAGCTTTCTTACCGCCTCTAATATTTTGTCTGTTGTTTCCATTGGATTTTCTATGAAGTTATCTCATTATCTGCAAATCATGGCGGGTTTATTTCTGTGCGCTTTGGAGCAAATACTCACCTGCTGTAACTAGGAGACCCATCACAAAAGTAGCTTCAATAACAAATGCGTTTCTGTTTTTCCTCTTTCCCATAATGTTTCCCCAAGTGTGGAGTACAGGTATCTCGTGATCTCTCGGGGGCCGGCTTCCTTCTAGGTGTTTCTCTGTCATCCCAGGGCCTTGCTGTCATCTGCAGGGCTGAGCCTGGGCTGCCAGGAATTGCAGACTGCGGGGAGGGGACGAAGGAGAGGAGAGCCACCCCTGCTGACGTGGGGAAGGAAGGGCGCATCTCCCGGCTCCGCCCCGCGGGGACCTCCTCTGGTTTTACTGCAATGGCCCCAGCACCCAGGACAGTGTCTGGTATTTAATAGGTGTCCAAAAACATATTTGTAGAAAGAAACTCTTGGAAGAACAAATAGCAGAGGTATCAAAAGTAATTTGCAGGGGTGTCTAGGTGAGACAAAATTTTCATAACAATTGCTAAGAAATTGTTCTCTCCCTCAATCCCTGGACATCCACCTTCAAGTTGGATGAGGCACCCTCAAAAGTCGTAAAACCCTGGTTTCTTAAGGCTGCACCTCAAGAAGAAACCAAGATACTAACCAATGCGGGTTTGTCTTGTGTTCCCTGGTCTCCTCTCTCTCCAGCTGAAAGTTTATTTGAAAATTCGAAACCCACAGAGCTTCTAGACGAACCACCCACCGGCCTCACCCAGGAAGCTCTCCCCACTTTCCAAGAATTAAATATTCATTAGGTTTATTTTAATCAGGAATACATACATGATTTAGCAAAGCGTAATGCTTCCCACTTAGAAATCCCTCCGCCTACTCCCCAAATGTTCCAACCACGTGAATCACAACAGAAAACAATACAGAAGACGCTGTACACACAGGTGTTCACCAGGTCACCCTGCCTTATGGCGGAAGTCGGGGTCCCCAGAGCTACATTCATCTCCCATACATTGGCTGGCTCTATGGAAACAGCCTTTGGTGAATGTTGAGGAAACCACAAGTGTCTTCTTGGATAAACACACTGGAATCTGATGATACAGAAAATCATTTAAGTGTGTGTGCACACACCACCAGCGCAGTGATCTCAGATGGACAGAATGCATATATACTGGACAGACAAACCTTTCCTGTTGGCAGTGCCCCTCCTCCCCCCGAATCCCTTTGCAACCGGGAAGATGGGTCACGGCGACATCTGCAGCCCCCTTCCTAACAGGATCTGGAGATAAAGGCTTCTTCTGCTCTAGAACTTTGCTATGTTTTCTCTTTCGTCTCTTAAAATTATGTTTGACAGAATTAAGCCACTCCAATTCCCACCTTTTCTAGAGCTGAGCATTTTTATTCATGTGGCTGCCAGACTCTTTTTAGAATAAGATATTGGATGCATTATTCCTTTAGAACTTATCAGTTTCCTTTCTTCAAAAAATCCAACCATTCTTACTTACCCAGTCCAACCAACCGTTCCACTGTTTAAAGATCCAGCTGAAACATGAGTTCCTGGGTCACCCTTACCTGACCCCACTCCCACCCAAAGCTGTGAGCTGATTTCTGCTGAGCCCCCTTTCACAATATTTGTTTATACACTTTTCTCCCTGTCTACACTGCTGGGGCCTCTCTCTCTCTCTCTCTCTCTCTCTCTCTCTATATATATATATATATATATATATACACACACACACACACACACACACACACACACACACACACACACATATATACATATTTTTGACCTCACACCTTACACAGAACTTAACACAGTGCCGCTTCTGGCAGTCACTATCATGAATGAGTAATTGATGCATTAATATAGACAAGAATCTCAGCACCCCAGAGAAGCTCTTCCTGTGCTGTGAGCCGTGGTCGGCGACCTCATGAAACCTTGCGCGGTGCCAGGCCTGCCTTCGCGCTTTCACCGTCAGCAGCCACCCCCCTCCCCCATTACTCGTGGTCTCAGTAGAAGTAGGGAGGCCGTCTGACTTCTGTACACGTAGCTTTGGAACAAGAAGCCCAAAGGGATCTCCCCATTCAGGGCTCGTAAGGAAGGTTAGCATTTAGTGTCACTGAACTCCCTTAAAAAGAGAGGAGCCGTATCCCAGAGGTCTCTTTACAGACTGGTTATAAAAGTTCAATGCAGGAGCTCAATTTGCAAACCCAGACTTTCTGCCAGGCCACAGTTTCTGGCTCATCTTCTTCTCAGGCTTTTCTCGTTCAGAAGTTTTCTTCAGGGACCTCAGAGTGAGTCCACTCTGAGGTGTGTTGGAGAGCGGTCCTTGGTTGGGCACGTTCCTGTGAGAGAGCGTCTTTGTCTTTCCCACAAATGCGGCGTGCACATGCACACACGCAGGGCTCTTCTGAACCCTCGCCCGAAGATGCCAGGAGTCCACATTTTGCAATGTGCCTGATCAGATGCCAGGGAGGGGTTCCCTTTGTCATGATGCAGATAGAGAAGATGAGAGTTCAATTCTCCATGTGGCTTCTCTTGGCTTCTGGAAGATGTGGGGTTCCCCAGGGACCAGGAAACCGTGCCTTTCTGCAAGATCCCAGGTGACAGTTGAACCTCTGTTACTTTGGGCAAACACCATGGTGTCTGTTTTCGGGCTAGTCTTCAAAGTACGGAGTTGACGAGAAGAAAGAGCTCTTTCTTTTGCTTCCACTGTACATCAAAGAGACGCTTTTCTTCTTTCGATCGAAGGAGGTGCTGTCATCCCCGGTCAGGGACAGGTAGGAGGCGATGCTTTCCCGAAGGCCGTAGCTGAAAAGGGACTCATCCACACTGAGTGGGTTCTCAGCCCCCTCCGGGTCATCTTGCCGTCTGCGAGTGGGCAGAAAGTGGACAGAGAAAGGGGCAAAAGAGAGGGACATAGTGGGATGGAGGACAAAAGAATGAGAAAAGGTAGAAAAACAAATGAAGAGCCTGGTTAATATATATCTAACATTCTAATTCTGCTTCTTGCATTTGCGGCCGTGTAATCTTGGAGAAATCACTCAACCTCTCTGAACTGCCATTTCCTTGGATGGCTAAAACTTCCAACTATAAATTTTAATGAATATTCTTCATGATATTTACAAGGAAGAGCTGTTTTATTCATTTCTCAGGCAATTCTGATGACTGATTTTCTTTGAATTTGCCAATGGGATGTCTGGATTGGTGTTTAATTAATACAATAACCACAACTACAGATAATCCCAACTACAGATACCCCTAAAAATGCAATAGCTGACAATCAAATAGAACAAATAAGGGAAGATTTTTTTTTCCCTTAAAAAAATGAAGTTGCCTTAGGATTTTGCTTGTATGTTTACCTTCAAGATTAAGTCTACAGTAATATTAAATTTGTACAAGATTGATTTGTGTGTTATTCTCTAATTGTTAGGATACTAACAATTAGAAAAAAGCAAGATGGTATCATTCAGCTAGAAAATATTCAGCTAACACCAAAGGAGGGCTCAATAAATGTTTGCACAACTGTGGGGACTGAGGCCATGGCGGGGAGTTGCTAGGGCCATGCACCCGGGGCATGAGGCCTGAGGCTGGGTCTGCCTCCCAGGGGACAGTGGGATTCCTGGGGTCTGCATCTGCTCAGAGCGAGGTTTTAGCAGGGCCAGCGGTAACTGGCCATGGTGTTCACGTGCCAGGCTCACGTGCTGGTTTGGGGCTTACATGTTCGTTCATGGAGGACACACACATACACACACACACACACACACACACACACACACACACACACACACACACACACACACACACACACACACACACACACACACTCACACACACGCAGACACACACCTGGACGCCCTCTTCCAGTCGAAGGTCTTCTGGCGCAAGGTGACAGGTGCATCGGGGGCCCTCACTGCCGGGGCAGCCGTGGTCTGAGTGAGGCAGGGCGTGGTCAGCACACAGCAGAGGCCGTCGGCCACCTCTGAGGAGGGAAGCAGAGAACCAGTCAGCGACTGTGGGATGCCCCGGCCAGTGTGAGGTGCGGGGCCCTGGATATTCACAAGGGGGAATGGAGGCTGAGATCTGAGAGGGGCTGAGAGTCACGTGCCCAGCTGTTGAAGAAATATTAACGTGTCCTGGGTACACACTGTGCTTGGCTTGACGCCAAGTAAAGAGAAGGGTTTAGCATCCAGAATCCACCAAACTTGGGTTTGAGTTTCAGCTCCGCCCAGATAGTGAATCACCTTGACCCTCTCTGAACCTGTTTCCTCAATTGTTGGATGAGGGGACTGTGCTGCCAAGAGAGAACAGCTGGCAGAGCACTTGCATGAGGGCCCAGACTCAGTGGTTTCACAGCAAGGTGCAGGGCCATCAGCTTCAGGTGAGCCTGCTGTGTGCGCGGCGGTGGGGGAGATGTGTGCAATGTGGCTTCTCCCACAGCACACAGAAGGGGCTCAGTATAGCATGGGTGGGGCTAATGCATCTTTAGGAAGAAAGGGAGATAAAGGAAACAAGGAAAGAAGACAGAAAGGGAGAGAGAGAGGAGGGAGGGAGGGAGGGAGGGAGGAAGAAAGGAAGGAAGGAAGGGAGGGAGGAAGATGGAGAGAGAAGGAGGGAATGAGGTAGAGAGAGGGAGGGAGGGAGGGGAAGAAGCAAAGGCAGAACAGAAAGGATAAAAGACACAGAAACAGGAGGAGTAAAAAGATAAAAGGCAAATGGAGAAAATGGACGAAGAAAAAAAGGAAGAAACATCTCTCCTCTCTACCCTAGATACAAAGAGGATGAAAATTAAATAAATCCTTTCCTTTTATCCCTCTGCTAGTAGGACATAGCTGAGTTTCCATGGTCCCCCATCTTTCCAGGGGCTTTAAGATAGAGCCTCCGTCTCTTCGAAGCCTTCCCGTAGCCCACGACATCATGAGAAAGACTCGAGCCTGCTGGGCTCAGATGTTCCTACAGATGTAGGAGATTCTGTGTGGCCCTGTTGAGGCTGAGGAGCCCCGTGGGTCTCATGTCCTGGGGGAGATGAGGTGGCCAAGGATGTGAGCTGCCACTGGCCTCTCAGGACAACACCACCCCAGCCCCAAGCACATAAATCACCAGGGTTTAGGAAGCTCATCGCCCCTAAGGCAGGCTCCACCTCCCAGCTCATTGATGCAGCTCTTGGGGTGTCCTTGCCAAAGAACAAAAGGTAATGGTAGCCGAAGAAGCAAGCCCAGGCTGTCAGAGGGTGTGGCAGGTCAATAACGCTTCGTCTCCACGTGATTTTCCCCGTGAACTCAACTGTCCACCCACACTGGCTCGCACTGAGAAATGTGAGATTGGACCCTGAGGTTACAGGGAGCTTAACTGGATGTGAATCTGAAATAATTACCTGTCACGGGTTGGAAATTGAAACGCCCTCCCAGATTAGGAGGCAAAGGAGACTGAGTCAGACACAAAGACAAAAGAAACCAGCTGCAGTAGACAGCACAGGCGGGGGAACGTCCTTCCTTAGCAAGGTTAACGCTTAGGCTGAGAAATACATTCTGGCAAAGAAGAAGAGGACTAACGCTTCCGAGCACGGAGGCTGAGCCTGGTGCTGAGCGAGCTTGGCATGTGCCAGCTCAGGGAACCCCGAGCTACTCTGGGCCATCAGTACTGTTACATACATTTGGGGAATGAAGAAACCAAGGCCCCTGGGGTCAGGATCACAGCCAGTTCACAGGCATTATTTTTTTTGGTCCTAACAATAATCCTATGAGGCATTTTAATCCCCATTTTATAGATGCAGAAACTGAGGCTCTGAGATATTAAATAATTTTCCCAAGAGCACAGGATAATAAATATAAGTAACTCATAAAACAAAACTGTCTGTTCACGTCGCTTAGCACACATCTTCTCTGATTCTGCGCCTTTAGGAAGAACCTGGTGAGATGTAAATTGGCCACATTATTCCCACCTTGAGGTCCTGAAGGCACCGGAAGCCTTTCAGGCCTCCATCCAGACCCTTTTCAGTCATTCGCAGAGACGACTGCTGACTGCGATCCCTGTGCTGATGCGACGGCCAGGGGTGCATTTTTGGAAGGCGCTGCTTCTGCGCTGGCGTGAGATCCTCGAGCATCTGCGGCCTGGAAGCCGTGTGGACCTCCTGGTCCATAAAAATCTTTGCTGGGCCAGCATCCTTTTCATGTTTGCTTTCGTCTATGCAAAACTTATGGTCGCCACACCTCTCAGATGATTCTTATTAAAAGCCAAATACCACAACCAAGTTTGACTCATGATCAGTAAAAGCTGACTGTTTCCAGGACTCCCTTCCTCTTTCATTTTTAGCTAAGCTGCTAGGTGTTTGGGTATCATGGGAGTAATATTTGTTATCATTTATTTTGCATCCTCCATGTGCCAGGCTGTGATAAACATGTTACGTTCACCTTCGTGTTCAATAATCATGACAACCACCTGCAGGGGGCACTGCTCTCATCCACCTTCCGTGAATGGGGATCCGGGGCTCTGAGAAGTGAAGGTATTTGCCCATGGTCTCACGGAGCCCGGAGCCCATACCGGAGCCTGGGCCTGGGTCTCCATAGCGACCATTCCTCCTTCCAGACCTGCACTTCTCCCAGGCCAGGTGTGATAACCCAGCCCCGTGGACTCCTCCTTTCACCTTGAAATGCCCTTCAAGATCCCACATCCTAAAGAACCCAGGGTGTGGGGTCAGACATCCTGAACCCAGAAGGGGGAAGATGCTTACAAAGTGAAAGCAGCTTCTGTCTTCCTCCCTTTCACAAGGCAGAAGCAGGGAGGAGGGAGCCCTCCTGGCCCGGGAACAGTGGCTCACATAGCAGGAGCCCACGTCTGAGTGGCCGGCGCTCTCGTCAGCACTTTCCGTGCTCTAACTCAGCGGACCTCACAGCATCCGCGCGGTAGGAACAGTCAGCACCTGCATTACCTGGAGAAATGTGGGCACAAAGGTGGACCGCCAGCCCAAGGTTGCCCAGATCGGGGATATGAACACAAGAAGTTTCCAGAGCCAACTCTTAGAAATGCAGCCACCTTTTTACTATTTCTCCCTTTTCCATAGGTTAAAACTCTAACTCCTGACCTGGCATTCAGGCCTTTCCCAATTTAACGCGAAGGTCCTCTTCCAACTCTGCACACTATATCATCGCCTCCATCAAGCCCCACTCTGCTTCCGCCATCCTGGAGGATGCGCCCTATCCTGGTCAGCATGAAACATTTGGACTTCTCTCCTGGGCCCAGGGAGGACATATGGATGAACAAAGTATAATCCCTGGTGTCTAAGAGCTTGTTGGGAAACACAGACTAGTACACAGTTAACTAGGTCACTGGGCAGGACGCACAGAGTTCTAGGGAGAAAAACACCTGACATGCTCGGAGAGCAGAGAAAACAGACCATTAGTTTTCTGACTCTTAGGGCTTCATCAAGGAAGTGGCTTCCTGTTGGCCTTGAAGGTTGACGAGGATTTTGACACGCAGAAAAGGGGAAATGAGCGGCATTTCAGAACAAAGCCCCAGAGGCCCAAGCGTACAGTCCACTTAAGGAAGTGCAGACTGTCTGTGGTTGTGAGTGTAGGGGCATCCTAATTCGTTTCACCTACAGTTAGAGAGGGGGTGAAGTTGAGGTTGGCTGCATTTTACTTAGGCAGCCTTCACATTCAGTCTGTTTTAGCCTGAAATTTACAGTCTGAATTAAAAAGAAAAGAGCATATGAAGAAGCCAGGATGGGCAAGAGAGCAAAGTAAACCACCTGGCATGTCTTGGTGACCTGTGTGCAGCCTAGACTGAGTGCCCGGGGTAGGGGCAGTTAGCAAAGAGGGGCGTCATGTATCAGTCCCAGTGGAGTGTTTCTTACCAGAATAGTGGTTCACCAGGTCCTCCAGGCACTGGAAGGTGAGCCTTGGGGAAATGTAATACCAGTTGTTTGGCAGACGGAAGATGCGGTAATGCTTCACCTGCCGGTGTCTAACCGAGAGCGAATAAAAACCTGCAGGAAGTGCAGGATGAGTCAGTGGTATTCCATGTGTCCCCACCCAAGGGCCGCCAGCTAAGGAGCCCACCACCGCTGAGGCAGAGAGACCTTCTCAGCCTTGTGATATGATGGTGGTACCCAGACACATGCTTTTGTGTTTTGAGCAACGGCTGCTCAAACCCTGTCTGCTTGGTTGTAGCTCACTCTTTAGAGACCCCAGGAGCGTGGTATTTGAGCAGCCCAGTTGCATTAACCTTGTGGCAATGCAGGTGTTCAAATGCAAGGGCTAAGTCTTTGCTTTGTGAGTTACCATTCTGGGGGCTTCCACATCCGTTTGTGGGTCCTTAGACCAAATGAAATGACTAGAGTTGGGTTGCACCCTGTGCATCCCGGATCTGCGGTCATTCTTGAGTCTTTCCCAAGCTCACGCTCCAAGATATTTGTGCTGTCATTTTCCTCCATCACACAGTTGAGGGGCCCTTACAGTTATGCCCCCTTTTCCTGGTCCCTTTTGCCTCTGACTTATGCTTGGTGTTCTCAGAAACTTAGGAACTGTGGCAGTTAAGACATTTTTCTGAGTATTCCTAAGCGACATGAAATGTGTTTTGTCTCCTTCAGCACCATGAAAGTAATGACCCAAGATGGGTTAATCAGAGTAGAACTTTGGGTGAGCACCCGCCACTACCTCTCTTAGCCTCGATTTCCCCAAATGGAAAGTGAGAGAATTGAGCTTAGGTCATGTTTAAGAGTCCTTCCTGCTCTGTCTTCTGAGGTTCGAGGAGTGAAAAGGCTGGCGAAGCAGTGAGGTGGAGGGGCACTTGTACTTGCTGAGTTTTTGCTGCATGTGCTGGGCTGGGGGCTGAGCTATTCCATAGCAACGTCTCTGATGATTCTCAGAAAGACTCTGGGAGGTATTGTTCTCAAATACTATATAGACGGAGAAACTGAGGCTCGAGTACTGCGTGAAATAGCCTAAGGCACACAGCTTGGAAGTGGCAGCCCCGGGGTGGGACCTTTGTCCTCCTAGAGCAGGCCTCCGAGCATTCTGCTGGGCATCCCTCCCCGCTCTGTCCCAGGCCCGCCCTCTGAGTCAGTTCAGCATGTGTCTTCCGGTAGTGTCAGCAAGGACTGGAAGTATGGTGAGTAGGTCAAGGGTAGAAGGTGGAAACTTAAGAGAACTTTGCATACCCAAGGGAGCAGGGCCTGGCCCCCACCTGGGCCCCAGCTCGGCTGCAGCTCGGCCTGATTATTTTTAGATCAGCTCTGGCAACTCACATTGGGTCCGTCCCCCGCCACCCCGCCCCCGGCCATGCCGGAGTCTGGGTCTCCTGCCTCGGGAGATCCCTGGGACCTGCACAGGAAGTTTTGCCTTTGCTTTGCTTTTGCCCTTACCCAGCTTATTCAGGTTTTTGAGAGAAAAGCTGTTCCTGGATTTTTTAAAAATTTTAATCCACATATATGTGGTTCCTGCTTCCCCAAAGGAAGGCTGATGCTTATTTTGGTGGAGGTAGGTAGCTCTGGTGCTTAATAAGTGCACGGGAAATAGTCTCAGATACCACATTTTCTCTTCTTTGATAGCGAACGTACAGGAAGCAGGCTAAGAACTTGAAAATATTTTCTATATTTAAGAAGTTAATATCAATTCTCAGTTAGCCTGAGTAAGCCCAGGCTATTAATGTTTTGCTTCTGTGAGCTTAAGTGTATACGCCATTCCAGACACCTGCCAAATATTTTCCTGTTATTAATCCCATGTTATAAAGCAGGGAACTTAGGCTTAGAGAGAAGAGATGACTTCTTAGTAATTCACGCAGGCCAAACTAGAGTTTGGGACCCTTGCTTCGAACCATGACAAAGTCCGGCTATTTATTTTTCACTGAATTACTTAGTGCGTAGGATGTATGAAAATTAAAACAGTGAAGGTCATGGTGAATCTGCTGGTCCCGATTCTCTAAGCTGCCTGATTTCATTGTAGGGCACAGCCAGGACTAAGAATGAAGGTCTGCTGTGTAGTAAGAACACAAAAGGTCTGCCAGGCCTGCTGTGGGTCAGAGCCTGTGCCAGCGACCCCCACCCCCGCCAGGTCACTGCCCCCGGCTTCGGTGCTGGCCGCACTGATGGTGTGTGGGCTGCTGGGAGCTCACCGCGCCGGATTGATTTGCGTGCCTCGTAGGAAGAGGGAACCTGAGCCAGGTAGTGAATGAGTCAGCCTGGAGCAGAGCTTGCTTGTCTGACCCATGTACGGAAAGATGATTTGGAGGCTGCTCACCTCTCTTGGTCTCACTCTCCCTGATCATGAAGGAGCCGATCTTCGTGTCCGGCAGCTGTAGCAGCTCCTCAGCTTTGTCTCTGCCCAGCCCTTCAAACAGCCAGCTGGGGAGAAGAAAGACAGCCATGAGTATCCCCCAAGAAAGACAGGAGGGATGCAGAAATGATCCAGGTCCAGCTAATATAAAACCCTCTGTTGGGATTAAAAAAAAAAAAAAAAAAAAAAAAGAGCAAGGCAATCAGCAGTTCATTCATTCATTTAATCTTTCAAATAAAATTCCCAAGTACACACTGCAAGCTAGGTGTTACATTGGATAATTAGGACACAGAGATGCACAAAGCATCTTTCTTATCCTGTTTCTAAAATGCCAGCTGCACTGTGCCCATTCCGTATTATATAAAAGCATCCTCAAACATGATAAGGGACCTATTTGGTAGTTTATTTAATGTCTATGTCCCTGATACTCTGACTACCCGGCTCCTCCATCCATGGGGCAGGGACTGTGTCTGTCATTTGAGGTTTTGCCTTTGTGTCCAGGTTATCAAGCTTGGTATATATCTGTGAGTGAATGAATGAATGAACATGAGAAAGGAAGGAAAGAAGGAAGGGAGGGAGGAAGGAAGGGAGGGAGGGGGAGGGAGAGAGGGAGGAAAGAAGAAAGAAAACAATGGTGGTGCCTAATTTCACCACCTGATGCCCCACCTTGCATTCATTCTATTTCCTCCTTGTCTTCTCTTTTCAACATATTTTAAACTCAGTTGTCATTGCATGATGCATTTCCATACACTTCTTGCTTTTTTTTTCACTTAACAATTAAAAAAAGCAGTTGTAATACTGTAGTCCAGCTTTTCAATGTAATGTTCACCTTCCAGAGGAGAGTGGGCACTTTGAATATGCTTTAGAAAGCAGCTCGAGACACAAAGGAATCTGTGTTCTAAAGGAAGGGCCCTTCTCATTTTTCAGACCAGGCTGGGCCAGATCTCAGCGTGGAAGGAAATGCTGTTAGCAGCTGGCTGGTGTGTACTCGGAAGCAATTGTACATCCTTTTTTAACTGACTCTGTTTCAGTGAACCTGCCCTGGCCTTCAATCACACGTCTGGATGAGTGCATGCTGTGACCAATATTAACGCTCTGCTGTTTCGCACTCTAACATTCCCTGTGGCATGAAAGCGGGCCATTGACAGGGCTGGCTGAGGGCTCCTGAAGCACGGCGTGTGAGAAGACATGCAGGCATAACATCCCATACTGTTTATTTATGTACTGGTCTCCAAGAAAGGTTTTGTTACTGAGATCATGATAACACCATATTTGGCCAAATATTTCAACTATTCCCTTAGGTCTCCATAGCATATGGCATATTAATTATTGCAGCATACGTGACATTCATCCTTTCAAGTCCTTACATGAAATTCCACTTATAAATATGAAGACAATAAAACAATGACAGTAACAACAGCCATGCATGAATACTAATTATCGGCCACATACCATATTAAGCACTTGAAATCTAAGCCTCATATCAACCCCCTAAGACAGGTAGTATTATCTCTCTTTCACTGATGAGGATACTGAGGGTCAGTGATTAAGTAATTTATCCAAGTTACCCACATTGCAACTTATAGAGCTAGAATTGAGACGCATTTTTCGAACTCCATATCCACTATGCTGCATCACCTCTCTTCCTGTTATATATTTTAAGAACATTTATTGCATCTGCTAGATTGGAAGTGCTGTAGTGTCAGGATTACATCTTATTCATCTGGGTTCCTCACTCCCTGCTCCTGCAAGCATTCAGCACCACATCTTCAACATGAAGGTGTCCATGCATGATTGCTAAGTGAATGGATGGATCAATGACACACAGCTGATGAGAAGAGTTCCATGACTCACTTCTCTTTCAGAACATAACTCTCATAGTAGCTACTGCCCCACCTCTGCTCAGCTTCGTCATCCTAAGCACAGAGACAATTTTGGGTATTCATCATCAAAATCAGTAACACTGCAATGAATTGCACTGAATTCTATGCTTCAAATATTCAGGCAGTTTGCTCTGTTTCCCCAGGTGAGCAGGTGGCATGCAGAGTCCTTCTCTGACTGTAAGGAAGTTATTTCTGGATCCCTCAAATGGAAAGTGGAGTTCCCTTCTCCCTTCCTATATGCCAAGGTCTGGCCTTGGTAGCTCGACAGATGAGGAGACTGTGGCTCAAGGAGGTTAAGGTAGTTTTCCGAGGCCCCACCAAGGAAGCAGGGCTGAGACACACCTGTCCTGGCCTGGGTGTGCTGGCCACCAGGGCCACCCGTCATGTCACAACTGCAGGGGAAAGCAACATCCTTGCTTTCTCATCTGCTGTGCCCAATTATTTAAAGGGTCTCCTTTTCTGCTTGACTTCTCCATTTGTCAGGTTGGGTACGTAAGCATTTTTGTCAGAGCCTGTTCTCTGTGTTCTGGATATGATCTGGTAAGAACGTAGCTAATACGTATTGAGTGCTGATGGTAATGCCAGGCATGGTTTCAAGAAATCTCCATGTACTATCCTATCTTATTTTCCTAACAACCCTAGACTTTGGTCCCATTACTATATATTATTATTCCTATCATTCTATACTATGATCTCTATTTGACGCGTGAGGAAAGGAAACTGATTCTTAGAATGTTGAACAACTTGCCCACTGTCACACAGCCAGTAAGTGACAGAGGCAGGGTTTGAACTTAGACTGACTTTTGGCTGCTGCGTCCTGTGATCACAGTTCCTGAATCCTTACTGCTACAGGAACACCGCATTAGAGCTGCAAGGTCCATCATTTGTCTTACTATTGAGGAAATCGAGTCTCAGAGAGGGGAAGGTTAGCCCAAGGTCGCACCATTCCTTAGGGACTGCGCTGAGAGTAGAAGTGACCCTCTCGAACCAATACCTTCCTTTCCACTGTCCCAGGCTGGGAGCTCTCTATGCAGATGTCTGAGTCACTTGCATAAAGATCATGCTTTATTGGGCTTCCCTGGTGGCGCAGTGGTTGAGAGTCCACCTGCCAATGCAGGGGACACGGGTTCGTGCCCCGGTCCGGGGGGATCCCACATGCCGCGGAGCGGCTGGGTCCGTGAGCCATGGCCGCTGAGCCTGTGTGTCCGGAGCCTGTGCTCCACAACGGGAGAGGCCACAACAGTGAGAGGCCCGCGTACAGAAAAAAAAAAAAAAAAAAAAAAAAAAAAAAAAAAAAAAAAAAAAAAAAAAAAAAAAAAAAAAAAAAAAAAAAAAAAAAAAAAAAAAAAAAAAAAAAAAAAAAAAAAAAAAAAGATCATGCTTTATTGATGCTATTTTGGAAATGTACTCACCCGTGGTAAACTCTAGCCACACATATTCCAGGAATGTAGCTCTCTCGACCAGTGCTAAGGGAAATGGCTTTCCACCAGCCCCCTTCACTAGAAGGACAAGAACAAATAGAAAAGAGCGAATAGGGGAGTGTCAAAGTGAATGAACGAATGAAGAGAGTAATCAGATTTAACCTGGGATACACTGGGATGTTCCTTTTTTAAGGTCTGTCAATGGCCATGTTAAACTGGAATTTCTCCCTATGACAATTTGGTTTTTAAGTGTATCTCCCCCATTCTGAGCTAACAGGAAATCTTCCCACAAGTTGGCAATAGCCACCTTTCAGGGATGAGCAGATGATGTTTCCAGCTGATCTTCCACAGCTGGAGGCTTTTTAAAAATAAATGTTTGCTATGCTGAAATAGACCCTGAGATTTAACCAAGTTAGTTTCACATGTCTACATCAATGAGGATCTAAATAAAAGGCGCTCAGAGCCCCTATTTCTTTTATAGCCTATTTCAAATCACGGAGAGACAACAGGCTAGAAGGCAATACCTTTCAGTTTATCATCAGAAGTTTTTTTCAGACCTCTGTGTCCTCTTTCTGAGTCTGCACTAATATATAGTATCAACCCTGCCTGTGTCTGGGAGATGAAGCCAACATAAGAAGCAGACATTGGATCATAAAGGGCCTCAAAAGCCAAGTTAAGGAATTAAATTTTATCCATCAGGCAATGGGGAGCCATGGAAGGCTCTAGAGTACTGGCAGCACTAAGGAGGATTAAGCATTAAGGCCTGTTGTATGGGCCAAATTTCTCACCTCACAACAGGACGAGGGCCCACGTGGAATTGGACAGCTATAGCTAAAATCTAATGATTCCCACCTAAATCGAGTTCTACTTTTGGGGGCTTTGTAGAAGTTTTGGAAAGCTCACTCACTCAGAAATCACACGCAGTTTCTCCCCACGGCGGAATATCGGGGGGCTGATGTCAGGAGACGGGTAGTCACTCAGCACAGCCAGGAAGTCGCTGTCCAGTCCTGGGGAAACAAAGGCAAAGAGGATGTAGAGGCAGAGGTAAAATCTTCCTGGGGACTTTTCAGCTAAAGACACTTGATTGTTTTGAAACAGCAATTTTCAGCTGGTCCTCCTCTCTTCAGGTATGGTGAGGCAGGATGCTTGAAGGAACCCAGAGGGTCAGGTGACCTACTCTCATGATCAAGCCTGCCCTGGCCCTGATGTTCTCATCTGAGAAATGGGAATCCAGAGGTCCTTGAGCTGAGGTCACAAGATCTGACTCCATGGTCCGCCCCTGTGTCTACTGATCCGTATAATCTTGGGCAAGTCCTAGAATGCCTCCTAGCCTTGATTTTCCCATCTTTAAAATGGGGCTAATAGTACCTCTTTCCAGGATTTTTTTTAATGAGATAAGATGAAAGCATGTAGCAGCATCCATGAATAATGAGATGCTGTGAAAACATCCCATCCTATTACCGTCACCTCAGGTACCCTCCTTGGGGCTTGTGGACCCCATGTCTGCAACGTATCAGGGTTGGGGTGTCGGGTTTAGGCTCTGTGAGTTCTGAGGACCCACCAGGGTCAGGAGATATTAACTCTGAAGCTCAACAAAGCCCTCCTTCCTTGTAGAATGTAAGGTACCGTGTCGGGAATCTACTTAATAGGGACTTTTGCTGGGGAGGGGAGGTGAAAGAAAAATTAAGTACTCATCATACATATGTTGAAAGTAATTCTGGTGAAGTTTTGAAAAGGAAAGCGTGCTCTCTCGTTCATTCTGGTTCAGGTGACTACAGCTTACGGTAGACTACAGATAAAGAGATAGCATGAGAGTTCACGTTTGGATACTAAACAAAGCCTTGTTTCACAGCCTTCGTGATTTGCCGTAATTTGGATCCCTTAGCTGCAGGGGAATATCGGGGTATGTCTTTGGGGAAATAGCATATCCTACAAATTGGCAAATTCAGTCATTGTTTGCTGTGATGTTGCATTGATCAGTCTGTCTGCTGGCTGGGTATCTGAACTCAAAATTCTGGGTAACATACCATTTATTCATTCATTCGTCAATTATTTATTGAGCACCTACTGTGGGCCAAGCATGGCGAACAAAGCAAGCCAAGTCTCCCTGCTGTCACGGAGCTCACATTCTAGAGAATACACCAATAATGGGGGGAGGGGTCATTCCCCGCCCCCTTCACCCCAAGAAAATCTGGAGAAATCCCAGCCAGCACTTGGGCACCTCAGGCTTGGTGGCCACTTTCTGGGATCCAGACACCCTCATGCGGGACCTCTAACCCCTGCCCCTTAGAGCCCACATGTCCTGTAGTCTCCAACTCACATGTTCCCTATCAAACTAAGTCGAAAGAGAGCTTAAGTACGAGGATGAATAAGAATAAATGAGAAACGAGTGATCGCCATGAAAGAGCGCACTCAGACACATTGTTCACTTTGGGAAGCTGAGTCACAGACAGTGAGATGGAAATCAAGTGATTCACGGTGGCCACAGTCAGTGAAAGCAGGGAGGGCTTACGAGAAGGAGTGGAATCGCCGGGGAAGGGCTGACCAGTGAGGCCTCTGACCTTCCCTGAGCCTGTGCGGAGGCCTCCCCACACTCTGCTTTGCTATAAAAAGAGTTCTTCCCTTGTGTAGCTCTGGCCCAGTCCAATAATTAGAGGTGGCACTGCAGTTGGGCTTGAAGCCCAGAGTCCTGAGTTTTAATAAGGGATGGATCCAGACTTGGTGGGACACGAAGCCTATACACATTTGGAGGTCCTCTTCAAGAAAAAGGGCACGAAATTGCAGATACGGTGTTAGGTAGGGGCCCTAGGAAGGTGCTGGGCAGTGAGTGGGGCCTGGTACATAGGGTTTGACCAGCTGCCCGGTAAATCGGCCCTGGTTCTGAGGCTGATTTGCCACTCTGAGAGTGGACCCATTTTCCCCTCTGAGGTTAGTCTGGGAAATGAGGGGTTGGAAAATGAGGTTGGAAAATGAGGGGTTGGAAAATGAGGTTAGTCTGGGAAATGAGGGGTTGGAAAATGCTTTCATGATGGAAATCTGTCCTTCCTGGACTAATTGCTCCCAAATATGAAAGGACCAGTTAGTAACATGGTCTCCACTGCCTCTGAAGCTGTGAGATAGGCCACTGTGTTTTTCTCAGCCAGCCAGGTTCCCTCATCCTCAGAGCCTGTGAACAGTCTGTTCCCTCTGCCTGAACCCTGAACCTCTGCTGTCCCCTTTCTCATCCTTCTCACCTCTATCAACTCAGAAGTCACCTCCCAGAGGGGAGGCTAGTCTGATGCTCGGGAGAGGCCCAGCCCTCCTCTTGTACCCCCTCTTGGGCCCTGGGCTTTTCCTTAGAGGCAATCAGCCAGAGTTGTGTGTGTTTTTGCCTTTGTGTGGCTATCAGGGAATGGCTGTGAACCTCAGGAGGAGCTGTCTTGTGGCCCCTAGCCCAGCACTGGTCCTGTCCCACCCAGAATGCCCAAGGCAGGTTTACCAAATGAAGACATGAAGAGGTCCCCGTGCTACTAGGCCCTTGGAAAGTGCTACTGGGCTAAGGTTTTAAAGGGTCCAGGGGAAGGGAACCTGATCTGCAGCAGGCAGCATGGGATGGGGAGGTCATCACAGAACCAGCCCCTTTTGAAAAACAAGTGTGGAAATGAGAGGCACAGCATTTATCTGTGCCGATAATGGAAACTTAAAACACGTTGTGTGTCTACAAGAGGGGCTGGGCCTTTGATCTCTGATTCAAGAGTAAGGCTGTGAAACAGAACAACTGTCTTTTCATGATGCTAAAAACAGAAACAAAAACAAAATCCCATTATAAAAAAATTGTTTCAATCGGGGAAAACAGGCTTAAGGGGCTGGAGAGTTTCAATTTTACAATAACAGAGTTGAGTTTCCTGTGGAATTTTCGTAATAATGATGTTTTTTTATAGCTATGACACAAACATTGCCGAGAAAATCTTGCAATGGAGCTTCTGCTTCAAGGTTATGGCCTTTGCGTGGTCATTTGCCAGGGATTTCAGGTCCACCCCATCACCTTTTTCCCCAGCGTTGGAAAAACAGAAGGCAAAGTCAGTGGAAGATAGAAAGTTCAGTTTGTACTTTTGTGGGAAGGGCGGCCGTTCTAAGCAGGGTCGGGGGGCCAGGGTCCCAGCTAAGTCTTCCCTGAACTTAGGTCCCTACGGTGAAATAAACACAAGATAGGAAATTTAAGTTCGCTCATAAATTGCAAACACATTATTATGGACTTCTGGAGCCCCTGGCTTTGTGGAGAGCCGAGCATTTGAATTAAGTCAGATAAATGAGTGATACAGGGAAGCGGAGCTCTGAGGAAGCAGATGGGATTATGGCAGACTCAAGATAAGGAAACAGATTAAGTGAAGAATAGTGTGCAGGGCAGACAAAAGAGAATACAGGGAGAATTTTCGGGAGAGAGAACCGGCCTTGAAATAAACCAGGCCTGGCTTAAATTCCACCTCCTCAACTTAATTGTTCTGCGAGTTGGAGAAAGATTTATTTTTAACCAATCTGAGCTTGATTTCTTCATGTATAAAACTGGGAAATATCAAAATGGGCTTCATCTGATTGGGTTAGGATTCATGAGGAAGTGTCTGTATAAGAGCCTGCCTCAATCAGTGGCAGCCGGTATCATGTTTACGGCACGGGGTTATCATGCCGTAATCCAAGGCCAGTCTCAGCCAGTAGTGTTCTAAATTTTGAAAAGCCTCTAGTCCCATAAATTTGAAAATATTCTTATCTTCTAAAAACAAACTCCATTTGCTGAGAACAGAAGATGAAATTCAAGAGACCAAATATTGGTGATAGCTCAACTCAGAAATGAATCAGATTGAACACTCTGCACAAAAGTGTAAAATAGGAAATGAATCCAAAAAAGGAAGGAGACTGAGGCAGAACTTACTAGCCACAAATATTACGTGGTCAAAAGAGGACAGGCCCTTTTTTTGCATTATTATTCCTTAGAGTAGTATTATCATTTCTTTTAAAATGCTGAAAATCTTTTAGTAGATCCCATTTATAACCATCTTGCAAAAGCAGCCATTCTTTACTGCCTTTGCTCCAATACAATGCTGTGGAACATATATTCTTATTTAAAGGGTGAAGAAACTAAGGCTTGGGGACATGTTAGAAAAATGTCTGGGGGAGAGCATGAGGGTTTCCAAGCTCATGGTCAGGTGCCTAAGCCACTCAGGCCTTTTTGAGACGTAGTTATCAGGCTCTTCCCAGCTGATCTTGACCCCTGACAGGCTGAGACAAAGGCTGATGTAAGGGAGCCTTCAGAGCTGGCACAAGGAGCTCAGTGCCGCTGGCAGGAGAGGAGTAACCAACCCAGGGAATTCAGCTTCTGCTTTTGCATTTCCTTGAGTCATGTTCAAACTCACGGCCTCGGGAGGCGTGAAAGCAGACCTTACTTTTAGTATCTTTTACTGGAAATACACCTCCCACCCCCCAAACACACACCGAAACAATAAGACAGGGCTAGGCAGACTGGCCTGATAGAAGGTCTACTGAGTTCTCTTGGTCACCACGAACCACTTGTACCTGTGGGTCCTGTATTACGGGCTGGAAAGTGAGACCCAGTGGCCCAGAAAGCTCTTGGCTTCTCCATTGCTCAGATGGGGCAGAATGGGACTGAGCAGTTCTGTCAGATGGTACAGCCAGGTGGAGAGTCTTGCCAAGAACACAAAACCAGTAAGTTGAGGGCCTCGTTTCGGAACCAGGTAACATATCAGCAGAGGACGCAGACTCCGTTCTTGATGACCTGGTCTTCTCCTGGTCACAACTGAGTACCATCTACACTACCACTTACTTAATAGCGTTTCTCTTTGTGTTAAATTCAGTTTCAAAAAACCTTTAGTCCCCTCCTAAGCAATGTGAAATCAGGGGTTGATGGACCAATCATAATTTGTATGGTATCCATTAAGTGTACGAATGTTGTACATTCAATATAAACGTTGAATGATCATGTTGCACCTAAAGCCATCGTATGTACCAGCAGTGGGGTAAGTGAGACCGGATGGGAAACCCGCATCTAGTCAGAGATCTGACACGGTTCCCGTCTGTGTCCCTCACAAGGGCACTTGAGTGTCTGTGTCATTAAGTCTGGTGACCACGCTCTCTCTCACTCCAGAAAACACGTGTGCTTCTTGCAAGTCCGTCCCCTCCAGGCACGTGATGCATGGGTGAAGAGGGGGGACTAGATTCAGGCCACTGACTTCAAATCCCAGCTGTATGGCCTCGGGCAAGTAACTAACCCTGTTCGTCCCTCAGTTTCCTCAACTGCCAAGTTGAAACGATAATCGGGATCACCCCTGCACTGTGTGAGAACCCAGGGTGTCTAAAGCACGTGGCATGCGCAGGCACATCCGAGCACCAAGTAACTCGAATTACCCCCATGTTACCAATGAGGACAGAGAGACAGCTGGCTTCTCTCTCTCTCTCTCTCTCTCTCTCTCTCTCTCTCCCCTTGTGTGCTGGTGTAGGGGTAGCTCTGTGGTCTGCAAGTTTTAGGGGGCTTAAGATGCACCAGGGGGCTTGTACGAAATCAGGCGTGCGGCTCCCTCCCACCACCCCTGGATTCCCACAAGCAGGTCTAGGGTGGGGCTCAGGAATCTGCAGTTTTGATGATTACCCAGGGGATCGAGGCAGGTGGTCTGAGCACCACTCACTGAGAAGTATTCTGCTGTCTCTGAGGTTCCCTGCCCCCTCTTCCTCCCCCCAGAGCCCCACCCGACCCTCTTTCCACCCACCCTGGCAGCACCCTTGATGCTATGTAAATGCACAGTTTAGCATTATTTCCATCCTTGCACAGAAGGGGGTCTGGGTTTGTGTTACCACCTCTGCCGGGTGAGATCTCACTTTAGGCCAGGGCAATAAGAAGATAAGGAACGGGAGGGGAAAAGGTCACAGCAATGTGACTGAATGCTCTTTTTAAGGTGGAAATATGCTATTTCCCTACTCCTTGGGAGTTCCCTGGCTCTCATGCAACTTTGTACCGCCCATGTCGGGGCCCAAAACAGGAGTCTGAACCACGTGTAGAATTTGCAGAGAAAATGAGCTATTTGGGATGATTTGGAAACAAGTCACGGAATCCCCAATTCTATCACTTTAAAACTTTTTGGGGGGGAAGGCCATTTAGACACAGCCTAGTGCAATCAGATAGCCTTAAATGGAGTTAAGTAAAGAAAGTTATTCTACCCACATGTATCAGGTAGCTGCTTTGTGCTGCCATTACTGCTGGGGAGGGATTGCTCTGATCTCCATGTGAGAGCCTCCCTCGTGGGGCGCTGTGTGACTTACCTGTGGTCAGGTAGCTCCCAGGGGACAATACGAGAAGCCCAACAAGGTCATTTGATTTCCAGACCTGCCCTATTTCCATCAAGCCCTGCTACCTCTCTGCGTTTGTGATATTCATCTCTGGGAACCAGACTAATCAGGAATGTTCTTGAAAGCTTAGTTTAGGAGAAAACCGATGGGCAAACCCATATTCCAAAGCATTCACAATCCTGCTCAGGACACTTGTTGGTCTAGAAATCCACAGGTTGGCCTCCTGCTGACCCCTGTGCAGGGCCTGGGGCCTCAGGCGCACCACTCAGGCTGATGTCAGAGGAAGCACTAATTGTTTGTTGGCCCAAAACAATGCACTCCCGCATGACCTCCTAGGTATTTGAGACCAATCAAATGAGTAAGCAGGAGTGTTACCTGAGAGGTGCTTGTTCCATGAAAACCCACATTCTTTACATCATTTGAATCAAGACTAATTAATGTAGCATCAACTGTACCACCTGTCCCTTATTCAATTAGGTGTCAGAGAAAAGAGGAAATCAAGTCAGGACTGATCGCAAAGGAAACTTTTCAGGGGCGGGGGATGGAAAAGCCGCCACCCGCCAGCGCTTGATGTGGTTGCCTGGGTCACAAACTGGGTACGACCTGGGGAATTCTCCGAACCAGGAGGCGGAGGGTCGGGGAGACCCCTCTCCCTCCTCTCTAGAGGTGACCTCCCACCCACACAGTGGAAAAAGAGAAACTTATTTCATGACGATTTGCATTGAGAAAATAAAGGCAAATGGGCAAGTCCTTGGAGGCCCGTGTTTTCATGGGGTTTGCTCAAGCATGCCGCCCCTGCCAGCCCTGCCAGCCTCGTGGGAGGGGCGACCACACACGATGGGCTCATGGGCGGTGCCTCCCCTGCCCTGGAGCCGGTGCCCCCGGCCTGGCAGTGTCGGTCCTCTAGAAGTGGCCATGACCAGAGGAGGAGACTGAGACTTGAGCTGGGTTGGAGGAGGTGAGGGGAGGGGCCCAGGTCCTCCCCCACGGCAGCAGGAGGACTGCACACAGCTCTGAGCTTTGCATCGGAGGGTAAAGCTTCCCCCGCTCGCTCGGTGGCCCACGGCGCAGCTCCAGCTAATCATGTGGGCCCATGTCCGGGAACATTCTTCCTGTCTTCCCCCAATTCTGTCTGGGAGGGGTACTGGGGAGCCGGAATGGAGGGTTGCTAGGAGCGCCCCGCATTTTACTTGAGCCGGGGACAGAGCAGGAAGGTCTCTGCATGGTCACTTGGGGACATCTGAGGAGTCGTGAGACTGTGAATAAGTTGGGGGTCTCCACTTTGGAAAAAGTGAGAAGGCGGCTCCTTTTTGAAGGGCCCCGGAAGTCACGGAGTGAGTGGCAGGTAGCGTCATGGCACCTGGCTCCATCCCCGCTCCGCTCGTGGGGAGCTGTGCTCGGCACACACCATGCTGGGCATCTGTGTGTGTGAACGTGACCCAGTTCAGTGCTGCAGGGGATGTGGTGGAACCAGGTGGGGTCACCCCCGTTAGGAGGGAGGGACCAGGCCCCAAGTGCTGTGATGTAAGGCGGGAGGCCCAAGTGTCCCAAATCCCCCATGACTCACCCTGGGGACACTGATGGGTCACCCACCCTCCTGACCATCCCCTTCCTAACTCTTCAAGGACCCACAGGTGCACCCACACTATCCTGCTAGGAAATAAAGGTGAGGGTGTTGGTGGCCACCAGCACCCCTGAACCTGGAGCTCGATGGCTTTGCTCTCAGCCTTATATGAGCTACAAGGAAATTTTAATAATTAAATTCCTATTTTTTAATTTGTATTGTTTGAGTTTCAAATTTATAATCTCTAATATCATAAATGCTTGCATTATGTTACATGCCTAAATCATCAATGCGGATGTCCCCTCCCAGATCTCGGGCCATCCCTGAACGAGACTCTGTAGCTTTGGGGGTCTGGCTCAGCTTGGCATCTCTGGGAAAAGCTGATTCTTGTCATCCTCGATTAACCCATCACATTGTGCCCTCCCCCTAGAATGCCTGTCCCCTGTGATCCTACCAATGGACACAAGGATTCCTTTACTTTCAGGAAGATTTCCTAGGGCTAGTGGCTAGCTTCGTAAAGTTACACTGAAAACACTCCAGCAGAGCTTTGATAACATTATATACCCATGGTAGTATCATATACTCATGATAGTATTATATACCCATCATAATATTATATCACAGCTGGCAGGCTATGGTACGAAAGAGCCTAGGTTTCAGAACCAGACCCACCTGGGTTGGAAATCTGACTCTACCAATAGCTAATATACAAATTATATTATATTTGCTTTGTGGGCCTCAGTTTCACGACCTATAAAATAAAAGGATCAGGGCTTCCCTGGTAGCACAGTGGTTAAGAATCTGCCTGCCAACACAGGGGACACAGGTTCGATCCCTTGTCCAGGAGGATCCCACATGCCACGGAGCAGCTGGGCCTGTGCGCCACGGCTGCCGAGCCTGTGCTCTGGAGCCTGTGAGCCACAGCTACTGAGGCCCGTGCGCCTGGGGCCCATGCTCCGCAACAGGAGAGGCCACCACAATGAGAAGCCCACGCACAGCAACAAGGACCCAATGCAGCCAAAAATAAATAAATAAATTTATTTAAAAAAATAAAAGGATCGAACCAGCTGCTTCAAAGGTCCATCGCAAAGTGCCAGCGATTCGGCATCCTTCCAGGACACCATTGTGGATCTTTTTTTAACATTTAACTACAAACATGTTAACGCAAGCAAAGCGAGAGAGACAAGTATAAGGAAGCCCAATGTACCCACTGCCCTGTTTTAACAGCTCTCAGCACCCGCGTTGCCCCATCTTCGCCAAAGAAGCCAGACTTACCCTCTGGGCTAGGCAGAGGCCTCTCGGGAGGCGCCGGGGTAGATCGCATGCTGTTTCCCATTTTTCTCTCTCCCCGGGCTGTCGAAGCCACTGGAAGCCAATGGCTCAGGGGATCCACACGGAGCGTGAGCCACGAGCCCTCTGGGTAGAGAATGACCCAGTTTAGAGTACATCCTGCATCATTTTTTCAGGCAGCTCACTTCTTGAAAGGCGGGTGTTTTTATGTGAAGATGAGATTTGTGAAAGTTGGTTACATTTGTGCAGCTCTACTTTTATCAAGGGAATGACAGAGAAAAACCACAGAGAGGGAAGTTGCTAGCAAGTGCTGTCGGTGGAGAAAGCTTCCATTCCTCCGCACGGCTGACAGCAAGCAGCCGGCAGTGTTTGTGTGACAGACTGAGTGCCTTTCAGATCCCCCCGCCCTGGCTCTCCTGAGCCCTGACCCTCAACTCTCAGGGTCCTGCCATTCGGAGCTCTTAAAACTCAGGAGTTATGTGGCTCCACAACCAAAAGGGGGTGAGAAGAGGGTACTTTCTGTTTCCACTTTCTCTCTTCTGTTGGAGTTTCTGAACATGCTCTAAGCAATGGTGACAAGTGAAAAACCCTGACAATACAGTTTGTTGGCCGCCTGCTTCCCGTGCTGCTACAGCACTCTGACACCTGCTGTTACTTTTGATTATCATAGAATCTCTGCATCCCTAACCCCATTTTGCAGAAAGGAAAACTGAGTCTCAGAGAAGGTAAGGATTTTGCCCAAGGTCACACAGCATGTAACCGGAGAGCTGGGATTTGAATGGCTGATGCTAAGTCTCCAGTTTGTTCCATAATGTTCAAATTCTGGCTCTGCACGTGCAAGCTAGGTGACCTCGGGCAAGTTCTCGACCTTTTCCTGACTGTTTCAGGGAATAATAATAAAACAACATTGGGCTGTGGCTGCAACGTTAATAGATAAAGCCTGTGAAACACTTAGAACACGACCCGGCATAAAATCCTTGTAGGTTATTGCCATTTACTGTGTGTTTTCTGTTAGTCCATAGTGAGAAAATCTTTAATTCTGGGTCTTTGTATAAGTATTTTGGAAAAGGACTTAAATGATTCCAGCATAGACGTGTCCTCCCAGGCTGCTTGAGGCACAGAGAAGAGGGCCGCTTCCTTAGACAGAACTATTCCTGTCTCCTGGGGACAAAGACAGTTGATGGGGCAGAATCCCCCAGCCGGTGTCCAGCCCACTGGGAAACTTGCATTGCAGCCCATTGTTTGTCTCCAGTTTAAGATCAAAGCCTCATGAGTTTGAAAGGGTCCCAAAGTCAGCTAGTCCAACCCCCAGCCTGGCCTTACATCCTTCCTTTGTGCATTACAGTTTCAGATACTAGAAAGATGGATGCTCTCAGAGCAAGGCCTTTCAGAGGCTGAGGGAGGTCTGCACCACTTCCTGACTGCGGGGAGGGGATAGCCTGGTATATTATGAAACAAGGAAAACCAGAGTGAGTGTTCTTTGAAAGTTAATCTATTTTAACTACTTACATGGACAGTTTATCACTTACAACTCAAGCTAAGAGATTGTAGTATCATTGTGCTGTTCCCAAGATAATGGCAAGACTTGCAAAAACTGTAAACTCATAATGCACTGCAGAACATGTGGCTGGAATGGGCCACATGCTCAAATGAGGAGTCCTGTCTTCTGATCCTGTTGGTCTTTGTGACTGGACACAGTGGGGATAGTTTAAGGGTGAGGCCCCTCCTGATGCCAGGTCAGGACCCTTCCTGCAGGCGGGGCATGTTTTAACAGCAGCTCCCCGGCTCCAGGGGGCAAGGACGAGTTTTCTTTGTCCCTGGCCGGTCCCTGGTCTGGTGTAGGCACTCCCAGAAATGTGCTCCAAAAAAGTGCTGGGGAAACCACACCCGTGGAGGCACTGGCAACCTCATTCCCTGCAGTTCAGCGTCTCCTGTGCAGGACCCTGAGCCAGTGCCCGGAGGAAGGCGGCCCACGGGGTCCCACCCGGAGGACGGGGAAGGCCACCGCCTCTGGGGCCCCACCTGAGGTTGGTCCAGGGAAGGAGCGAAGCAAGCAGACTGCCTGGGGGGCCAGCGCCCCACATGAGATGCACAGATGTTCGAGAGGCACCTGCTGCCTCCGTCCTGCTCCCAGTGCCTTTCTGGAGCCCACAGGCTCCCCAGTCCCTCAGCCTGCCTCTCTGTTGTCACCAAGGCCTTCAGGCCTCTAGAGGAAGCTCTCAGGACAGGTGGAGGAGAGGCCCAGGCAGGCCTCCGGTGCAGAGATGACCCTGAAATGTGTGCTGGCCTCGCCCCTCACTCTGCCCAGGGTCCTCACCCCCCGCCCTGTCACCTGACTCCTAGAACAATGCCACTCTGCTCCCTGCAGCCTGATGCTTGGCCTCCACGATCGGCTAGACCCCAGGGCTTGTGCCTTTCACCCCCGACCAGAGCACCAATAGACAGGCGAGCTCCCACCCCTGCAGGCATCCCAGGCCCCTTCTCTGCAGCTTGTCTTAGCCGTCCACCTACTCCGTCTTCTCCCCGAGCCACTTCCAAGCGACAGCCTCTAGCCATCATGTCCAACACTCGTCTCTACACCAACAGCTCCAGAAGAGTCGTGGGGTGAGACTTTGTTATCTATCCAAGTGAGTTCTAACTTCACCTCTCTGTCCAACAGCTTTATAATTCTTCTCTGGCATTTGTGTGCTATTTGGAGGAGTTCAGGGAATCCAATACAGAAAAACAAAACAAAACAAAAGATTGAAAATTGCATTTTACAGATGGGAAAACTGAGGTCCGTCCGAGGAAAGAAACATACCCACGGTCTCGAGATGAGAAAGTGGAGTGGAGGCTGGGAGCCCGGGTTCTCGGTCCTCTCCTTGTTTCTGTCTGGCAGGTGGGCGTAAGCTGTGAGCAGGGGCTGGGCTGGGCTGCAAGCACCGTGTCCTGCCCGCGCTTTTCAGATAAGCTCATCAGTCCAGCTGCCCCTTAGAGGTCTGCTCGCTGGCTTCCTATCGACTCCAAGTAGGAGTGAACTCATCTGAAAGAGGCTTTGATTTGAGAAGAGCGAAAGTGCCTCCAGAGACTGAGAGCTGGGGTCTCCCTGATGAAATGGCTGAACAAATCTGATTTAATCTGTGACAGTTTTACGCAGTGGCTGGAGCTGGGAGAGAGGGTATGAGAGACAAATGCTTCTAGAAACAATAAGGAGAGGAGCCAACGAGAGATGAGTTAATTGACACGCTGCGAACAGCCTTGCTTTACTTCTCCCTTTTCTTTGTGACGTCAGAGGATTGAAACTGGCCTCTGCCTCTTCGTTTTCCCACAGTCTTTGGGTCAACGCTTCTTTTTCTCTGCGTGACCTTGGGCCCCAGTTTACTCTTCTTAAAAATGAGACGAGTGGAAAAGGTGATCTCCAAAGAGAGAGCCACTGAATCCCTTTCAATTCTAGCAATCAAGACTCAGTGACCTTTGGAAAATTATTACTAAGAGAAAAGACCCACTGTCACTTTCTTATGAAGTCCCATTGGACAGAATCCAAGCCTTGTCTTTACATCCCTCAGGATCCAGGCCAGGCAGTTCAGGTGTGCTGTATGCCCACCTCCTGGTGGGCAATTAACAGACGCCACTGCCTTTTATCTTCCCAGCATCCCAGGAGGCAGAGTTTCCCAGCTCACCTTCTCTGTGTAGGGGTCAGCCAGTTAGCTCCCCTGCCCACACACCTGGGGCTGGAGCCCCGGAGACCAGGGATGCAGGGGCCTACCTTCCCCTCCTGGCTTCAGAGCCCACGTCCTTTTCCCAGGGCCATGCTGCCGTCTCCACTGGAAGCCAGGTCCCCGAGGGACTCTGTTCAGCAAATGGCTGGCCACCCTTTGAGCGGACACCTGGCGTGGAGAGGTCACAGGAATGTGGGCTGTGCCGTCTCCAGCTGGTTTCTGTTTGACCAGATCAGGGATCCTTTTGTCGTGTGCTCTGCGTTATCGTGTGGACACAGGGGCTCAGACTTCTCAGAGCCTTCCACTCCCAGGGCAGCATCCCAGGACAGCTCTGTGCATCTTATCCACTTTGTGCTTCTAAAAGCCAGGCCTCGCTGTGGGAAAGGAAGTAACCTGAACCCCTTCATCGTATGGCAAGGGGGCGACAGCTCGAGGAGCCCCAGCCAAGGGAAGGCAGGTCTGGGACAGTTGGGAAACCTTGGCGACAGTCGGAATGTGAACACCTACTTAGGGATGGAACCCTCCCTTTGGCCCTAGGTATTTCTTCCACAGAGCGTGACAGCGGGAAGCCCACCCATGTGACCTGCTTCTAAGGTGTGGGAGCAGATGGCCCGAGTGGGGACCCTCTTCACCCGTCACATCCAACCCCCCACAGCAGCAGTCATGTCAGAGCCACTGCCACCACCTTAGGTGCTCAGCCCTTCCTCTGCCAGGCACCTGGCTCGGCATTTTACAGCCTTCATCCCCTGGGTGGCTCACAGCAGCCCTGCTCTATAGGCGACATAAATTAAGTAACGTGTCCAAGGTTATACGATCAGTAAGAGGACAAATGGGTTTTAAACCAGGTCTGCCTGACTCCAAAACCCCTGCTCTCAACTGACCATGAAATGCTGTCCTGCTTCTCTGCCCTCTGGTCCAGCCCAAGAACTCAATGGAAAGTGATTTTGAAAGGTCATGAAAGCAAGCTTCGGGGACCATAAACTTTAGGGTGAAACTTCAGTCCAGGGGCCTCAGAGGTCCCGAGGGGGTCTCTTGGATGTCAGGTGGCAATGTTTGGAAGCCCAGGGCTGGGGATCTGGCTGGGAAGGGCGGGCGGGGCAGGAGGGACAGGAGAGAGAAGCCGGTTAAGGCCTGCTCAGATTCAGCTGTCATGGCCACTGTTAGGTCGCCTGGCATGGTCAGAAGGGCAGGAGTGAATCGTGTGGAATGTTTTCCAGCCTTTCAAAGCATTGTTTTAGAGAACTATTAATGCTATGGGGGAAAAAAAGAACCCAAAACAAACAAACAAAACTAGTCATGTTCATGCTGTCTCAATTTTATAAAACTTTAACATGCATATGCATATATGTAGAAAAATATTAAAGGA